TGATGTGAAAAATAATACAATGATCTGTCATCAACACTTATGGCGCATTTCCACTTCACGGCCTCGCTCGGTATGGCTAGGCCTCGTTAGGACTGGCTCACTTTATGGCGCATTTCTATTACAGTTTAGGAACTGGGGCAGTTACTATAGTAACGCAGTGTAGGCGGAGCCGTGACGTCATCTTCAATGAGAGCCCCAGAAAAACAACTTAGCTGTTAGCACTCAGAGCTCACAGCTCCTCATATCTGTTCAGAAACTAGACAAAAGTGAAACAAGTACAAACCACAGACTGTCTGTGTCATGGCGAATACAGTCGCTGGTTTATTTATGTCTGTATAGGCCGTTGTTGTGAGTGTGGACGGTCGGAGCATATATAACGTTAGCGTAGCCGATCTCCATTCAGAAAACACGCATTTTAAAAGGTCTGCAGACTTGTCAAAGCATTAATTCATGGTTTTTACTAACCGGTATCAGTATGTTGTTACTTCGGCATCATTTTGAAACGTGTATTACAATTAAATCACGGTCAAATATGTTCATCTTGTTGTAGTTGTAGCCCCCTTGCCAGCGATTCTCTCTAGTTTAGCATACTCAGCCCGACTCAGCCTGGTTGTTCCTGGCCCTAGAACCACGATTTTATGGGGCCAGAAAAACTGTGAATTAGGACCCGCTAGCCAGTACTAGGCCAAGTGGAAACGCAACCAAAAACGGGCCCCGCTCGGCACGCTTAAAGCGAGCTCCGCGCTGCATTGGAAACGCGCCATTATATCACTAACCAAGAGGGTGCAACTTTTAGTTAATTAGTGCTACACTTTACTATTCACCTTTATCTAGTCCTTCCAATGTTGGGCTTGCTTAATGTTTTTGGGTCTTTCACGTGTAACAATGGCTGCAATTATTATTCTTTCATGTAACCCTCTTGTCCAAACACGCTTCCTCCTCAGGACCTGACGAAGCGAACCGGGCAGACGCCGAACAAAGCGGGGAAGAAGCGGCAGCACGAGGAGCCTGAGAGCTTCTTCACCTGGTTCACAGACCACTCAGACGCTGGTGCCGACGAGCTGGGAGAGGTGATCAAAGACGACATCTGGCCCAACCCGCTGCAGTACTACCTGGTAGGCTCACTCTCAGCTGCTGCTCCTGAGAAACTGTAGACGGGAAACAGCCCTGAAGAAGATTGGGGTCCAGATCTATAATTTAATCTGAGTTGGTCAAAACCATTTGATCTCTTTTTGCTATGAATGAGATCAAAAGTAGAAATGCAATATTTATCTTACAGAATATATATCATTGGTTCTGTGCCATATTAACTGTATGATGTACTTGGGTTGGCTTTATTTGAGATCAATATTAGCCTGTTCAAAGATCAGAACTCATGTTCCATCTACAGTACATTTAAGTTGAGTATCTTAAAATACTAGTGTTGGTTATTTTTGATTTATTTATTTGAGCGCCTGATTAACATGATGTTACCGGCTCACAGATATATTTCAATACGGAAATTCTCCATTGACATAGTTTTTCCACCAGAGAGCACTGACATGTTTATTTTCCCACTGAAATGTCCTGCTTCACATTTGAAATACTGCTGGTAAAACGTTAGGTAACAATTAGAGCGCACTAAGGGTGTTAGTGCTGGTCTGCAGAGTCAGTGAGGGCCAGGCTCCAAACTGCACTCATTAATACTGAGGAATCCAGGTTTAATTGATCATTGTTCCCAAGGTCCCTGACATGGAGGATGAGGAAGGTGATGATGATGACGACGAGGAGGAGGGTCTAGAAGATATTGACGAGGGGGAAGAAGAGGAAGGTGAAGAGGATGAGGAGGAGGATGGAGAAGATGGCGAGGTAAGGATATTATAGATTATAGACAAATCTTAGTGTGATCTGTTACTGTAATGGCTGGCACTTCCTGTCCCCGACTGTTAAAAACGGAGATCTGAATTTTCTTTTCTTTCAGGATGAGGATGATTAAACAGTTCAGCGGACTCATTCCTCCCTCTGTGATCATCCTACAACCCACAGGAGTAATATAGGGGGGGTTTGTAAAAATACAACACAAAAATCGTTTTTCCCTGCGTGTTGTCAGCCTCTCTTCCTCTGCAGCCTCAGCCTGTCCATAATGCATACACCAGGGGGGGGTCATTCACTCCTCCAGTCTCCCCTTTGATTGTTTCTCTACATCACCCAAAGACATGCGAAAGGTTCAAACTTTTTTGTAACATTCTGCACGTCATCCTACGTAGATTTCAAATACGTACCATAGCAATTTCTATGTAAAATATGAAAATCAGTTTCTGTTGTGGGTTCAATAAAAAATAAGCCGTGATAACTTGATAGCATCCTTTGCCACTTCTACATATCAATGTATATCCAGTGGTGGGGATACCAAGGCTTATTGGAAGTTGCATTTCCTTTGTGACTTATTGTTCTAATGGAACTGACTGAAAGCACCTGCTCGTTCCTTAACAGCTGTTCTAAATGTTCTGAGATATCTGTGTATCTTGGTAAGACACTTGTTCAGTTTAATGGGGAGGCGTGTGTGGGGGGAGGCAGCGAGGTTTTGACAACAAAGCTGGGCTTCTGTTGAATACAATTATCTTGTTTCAGACAACGGCAGATGGTTTGAAATATACTTTTCTTTCTTTTTTTATAGAAACAACCTAAAGATCTAAGTTTTAGCTTGACCTGACATTTTGTGTTGGGAGAGGGAACGCGTTCTGTGGAATCCTCTAGGGAGCCTAAAGTGTTTCTTTTGTTCACATTAGATTAAGTTTAGTGGCTTTGTTACAATAAATAATTATACATGATTGGATTTGTCTTTATTGTTTATCTTTTGTTGTATATGACCGTTTGGCAAACTAAACAGTTTCTTGCCCCTGCAGTCTGCAGTGGGTCCAGCAGATGATGATAATCTTTGACTGTATTAAGATTTTGTGAATAAAAATGAACGGATGCTTCTGGCAAGTATTGTGACCTTTGTTCTAAATATGTGGCAGTAGTTTGGCCTAAACATTTAAATAAAGGAGACATATTAACAGAGCACAAGGCAGTGCTACAGTGTTTCCCACAGATCTGAAATATACTTTTTTTTGGGGGGGGGGGGGGTTGAAGTGCCGTGCCTTTGTGACGTACATTAACCTTTCAGTTGGTCGCTTGTTAGCAGACCCTTCACGCCATGGCAGAGCGATCAGGTACAGGCAGGGCCCATAGTGATAGCCCTATAGTTTAAATCTACCACCCACAAATAAACATATGGACATGGGTTACTATTTAAAAACAAATGGTAAATGTATTTAGGAACCTATTCATGTGATTTTAAGTGGGGGTGGACCTCAAATCCTCTAGGGGGGTCCGGGGGCATTTTTAAATAAAAGTTAAATGCATCAATCTGGTGCATTTTGAGGGGAAAATAAAGAGACTAGATCTATGGGAACACCTATATGAAACAGAACTGTACACATTTCAATAATCATAAAATCATGGCCATAACCAATAACATACCATATCCAATATGAAAAAACTTGTTTATTTATTTTTGGTTCATTTATAGTAGTGAGTGTGTCTGGGCTCCTGAATCAGCCTCTCCTGTCTCCCTCCTCTTTGAGGCAGCAGCAAAGACTAGTTTTAAAAGTTACCTTTTTTCACCTAGTTAACATTTTATTTTGATTATTCATGCATATTTTACTAATCACTCCCCGCTCAAATGGAAATATGTGTTTACATAAATGGTGACCAAACCGTTCGAGACCCACTGAGAACTTAGACTAAGTGAACTATCTAAACACTCAGAGAGTCCTTTACCTCACCTGAGCTGAGGTTATCCCGAGCTTGAATGACACACAGAGACCAATCAAGGGCTTTGATTTATGATCTGTATGACAGTGGCCATGTTGGCAGGCCACATGTAGACAGCCAGTCACCCTGTGTGAGGCAGGCCACTTTCAGGCCAGGCCATCGGGAAACCCCCCGGTCCTCCCGATAGCCAGTCCGGGACTGGGTACAGGAGGTGTAGAGCGAGGGATCATTGTCCCCAAGTTAATCGATCGCAGATGGCGTCGTGGTGGTCGCGGACGAATACAATTAATTAAAGTAAAGTCTCTGTGTGGGAAATCCTGATTTAACTGCTTAATTTATATTGACATCAGGCGTTATGTTGCTGTTATTTGGATGTTTAAAGATACAGCCACAGTCATATGAGAAAGATCTAACCACATGTTATTTACTCTGAGGTCCTTATTGTAGAGAACTGAACCTGTAAAATAGATCAGACTTAGGGGTGAATTACGCTGTTGGAGGATAAGAACAGGCTGTGGAGGTGAGTATAACAGATATTACCTTACTGCACAACAGGACTACTGACCTTCCAAGAGAGTAGGTGGAAAAAGGAAATCTACAAAAACAGAGGTTATCAAAAAAAGCAATAAGACTTTCACGAGTATTTACCTAAAATCACCTTGTATGTTCATCAGATAATTACTATAGCCAATATATCTATCATATTCTTGAAAAACATGTCATAATTCTCATCCTCATGAGTGTGTAAGGGAACATGTTATGTTATAGACGTAGTTTACTAAAGTTTTACTTTGCGGACAGTAAATATGCAAATGTAGTATTTTATTTAAACTAGGTTGGTAATATTTCATAATTAGAAAGACAGCCTTCGACAGATCCGTAGCTAAACTCTTCTTTCACATGTTGAAGTTGATATTCATGAAGACTAATCAGGCAGGACTTTACCGGAAGTAGAGGCAGTGACGCGTCCTAAAACCCGGAAGTAAGTTAGCATTTTACCACTTCCGGTAATCGATTCGAAAATTATAAAAGTAGGGTAGACATGTGGAGATTATCCGGCTGAACTAAACGTGATCTGTCTCTTCAACGTGTGTCAACCACAGACCTTATTTCGAGCTATTTTCCAAAATCCTATGGAGAAATTGCATTGGTTTTTGTCGAAGGAACCGGAAGGAGTTTACTTCCGGGTTTTAGGACGCGTCACTGTGGGATTTCTCTCTCGACTCTCCGTATCCAAGGTAACGCTAGCTTTGTAGAATGACTCGAGCGCTAGTTTTTCAGATTTTAGGAAAAGAGCCTCACAGTTACTATTCTGTTTTACCGGCATGAATGCACTTCATACATATCAACATTAACTACCATATGTAACATATGGTAGTTAATGGTTGAAATGCTCTTTAGCTGATCACTAGCATGTTTACTGACGAAGCCCTGGACTCAGTGAGTGTTCAGTCTCAGTGGAGGATATCCCAGCAGTCCGCGCAGGAGTCGGTATGTCTGATTGTCTGTTAGCATCACTCACAATGTGCGTCTGTTAG